ATTTCTGCTGAAACTTATAACTTTATTTAAGAAGGCTTAAAAAGTATTTATAAAATACACCAGGTTTAGCGAATAGCTAATCTTACCCTGGGCCTTCTGGAAATGAAACTACAAAATTTTATAGTACATTTAATGTGAGAATAAAATAAAAGAAAGAAAAAATAATTAAATGAGTAATAATAACTATTTGTCTATTTAAATATATTAATAGTGATGATTATTTGCTTATTTGTCATTCCCTTTTAAAGGAGGCTAAAGATTTAATATTTCTGATATCAATTGGTAAAGATGTTGTATAAATGTAAAAATGCTTCTCAAAGAACCGCCACCGGATGTTTGAGTCGAATTAGCAGCTTGTAAGCTTGTCACAACAAAGATTAAAGAAGAATTTGCTGTTGTCATCAATTGTCACAACATTGTTTGTCACCAAAATGGTATTGAGAATCATTAATATGATTTTGTGGCCACATAATAGAGGTATTAATAGCATTTGGGACCGCAAAATAGTGGCCACGGCTGCTTAATAGAGGTATTAAATACAGTACTTGAGAGACAAATATTTTGGGACTTTGAAAAGTGGCCACTAAATAGAGGTGGCAGCGTAATACGTGGCTGCTTAATAGAGGTACCACTGTAGTTCTCTTTTTCCTCAAATCTTAATTAAAGCCAGTTTGTTTACTCCTAGACCTAGGTAAAGTCCTAAAATTCTTAGAGTGCAAACAATATATCCATGAAACACTTATTACTAAATTGTTCAAAATAGTGCTAGTTAAACAAAAGAAAACAATGAAATTAGCATAAAATAGTGTAAGTTAGTATTACTAATATTTCACAGATATATTGTTTGCACTATACAAATTCATCTTAGAATTGTTGACATTCAACGAAATTCTTCTTTTAACATTTTTGTTTATACTATGGAATCCACTGTAGTGTGGAAATGCAAGAAAAAAACATATCATTGATGTTTGTGGGTGGGATCATGACAAGCTTTTTTCCAGAATTTCCACACTCTGGTAGATTCTGTAGAGTACAAGGTATGCTTTTCTCATAGCCTAGGTATTGTAGTAACTATATTTTTTAAATTCTTTTTTTAATACTTTGTAACTTCTAAAAAATGCTAGACTAATTCTTCTTCTTTTAATTGCTGGATGATTCTAGATTTCAATCTCTAAACCATATTTATATTGATATACTTATCGTTGGTCGATGATTCCTGTCATCAGTACTGATTGACTTGATGCTGATGGTGCTGCATCATCTCATAAAGGCTTTGCAGTACAACAGCTTGGTATGACTGAATACAACAGATTTGGTGAAGCTAGAAAGTAAAAACAAAAGTAAATTGTCAAAATCTTGCTACCTTTTTTAGTAACACACATCAAATAGGATCAAATGGTAGAGGTATATCTTTGAAAACTACAGTAAGCATGGGTAGCACAGCAGTAAGAGCACTCTCCTCTCATGATCACCAAGGCAAGGTTTGTTACTGGACTTGGTGTCATATGTGAGTAGAGTTGCTCAAGGTTTCCCTCCTGTACTTCAAGGGTTTTTCTCTTGGGTCCCAGTTTTCCTCTCTACACAAAATCAACTTCTGAATTCCAATTGTCAGGGCTCATTGGAAGAGGAGCCACTCTGTGGAATTGCCAAAGTTCAATTCAATGTACTGGTATTTATTGAGTGCAAGTCTTAAGGTTCTGCTAAGCTGTGCAATTTTTTCAGCAACTTGTCTCACAACGCTTGTAGCATTGCAAGTTTCAAGGCGAAGTGTTACATTGCAACGCAATTTCAGCAATGATAATGATTTATGATTTACTGTACATGTATATAATGCCCTTTCTATGTGGATATAATCAAAGGCGCTTTACATTGAGTTGTGAATGACAGATTGCTTTTATGCAATTTACAAGCATGAGAGATGGTTAGTATGAAGTGTAGGCACTGAGGGTGGTCACTGACAAGGTATCTTTTTGTCCTAAGTGGTTCTTTTACGTCCCTCCGATGTTGGTTAGTAATGATGAAGTGTGGAGAGACGGGACCACCATTTAAAGTGGTCATCCGAGCCATTTGAAAGTCTAACCATTTGCAGATGCAATTACAAAGGCAGCACTTTCTCCTCAGTTATTTTAAGACCCTGAGTGTCAGTCTGGTCGAGACTCCAACCATGACCTCTCCCACAAAAGTCCAATGCTCAACCAACTGAGCCAACCAGTTGGCGGTTCAGCAACTTACAACATATTTTGGCTTCTCAGGAAAATATGAGAAATGTGGGCCTATATTCTTGAATAATATGCCTTTAAATTTGTGAGAAAAGTTGTTGGAAAGGGCCGGGGGGGTGGGGTTACTCCCATATATAGACTATATGGGGATGATCCGCAGAACAGGGCCGGGTATGGTTTTTCAAGCTTCTTGTCATAAACAGTGTATGCAATTTCATTCAAGTTCCAAGTTCTTCCTGAGTTTCCTGTCATATTCAGGGATCGATTCTCCTTTCATATTGACCAAAACTGGTTATTATGGTTGTAAAAAAACGATACGTGAGATGACATGATAATTGAAACAGGAACTCTGTGCAATAAATTATAATTATTATCATATGACCCATATCTGCACAGGCGCGCGCTTTTGGGAAAATGGCATGAGCATGGCTGTACGGCTTTGATGAATCCGTACGGCCCTGCTCAAATCTGTCCGCTTTCTCTTTTTTAGCTTTTATTTACTATTTTTTTCTTTCTTTTCTTTTATTATTTTTCTTTTTGTTAAGGTCATATGATAAAATGCTTATTGACTGAGTTAGGTTGGGCTATACAGGAAAATATTTGGTTCTCGGTCATTTGTACGGACCTCGCTGCGTCGGCCCGTATGGCATCACCTTGAGCCAAATACTTTGTTGTCATAAACAGGGTCCACAAGTTTGAGTTTTTTTGTCATAAAAAGAGTACCCCTTTCAAAATCCCAGCAGAACACCCCTACCCAAATTCTGGTGAAGTACCCCCTCCTCTCCCCCCCAGATGGAGAGGTGATACATTGTGCAATTGTTGGTGTCTCTAGAATTAGTATTTCTGCAAAAACAGAGCAAGCAAAAGAGATTATTCAGGTTGTCAGTGATTGTATACGACACTGACCCTTATGAGGATTTAAGTTTTCATATAAACTTGGATGTAGCTTTATTTCTGATAAAGTCATCCTCATTAGCATTCTTTATGTATAAAGACACTAGTCATTATATAAAACTTCATTGAATACTAAAATGAAGAGGACTTTATTACTATGTACAGTAAATATATTGGTTCGGGCATATAGTTTTTTTTTATATAAGTAAATACAAGAAGCCATTTTCTGTGCATGATTTCTTTGTTTGATATTTTGATCACTCTCCCGTGATCATCATCAGACTGAATTATGATACAAATTATAATATGTTATAGTTTAATATGACAGAGTATCCCGTTGGGACTTCCGAACTAATAATAATAACTTGTACTTTGTAATATCAAACAAAAAAATCATGCACAGAAAATGGCTTCTCGTATTTACTTTTTTTTACTTTTATATACTAAGGGAAAGAATGGTCAGCAAAAAATAATTGGGACTCCTTTTCCTCTACAGCTGAATTGATAGCTCTGTATATGTCTGGTTTTCAAATATTTTACAAACTTGTGTTTATCCTACAATATATACGGTATATGGTTGGTATTATTGCTTTCATAAGTTCTAAAAAGTACTTATTGGGCTTACTGGGCATTTTCGTCTTACTGGGCTATTTCTTCTGGTATATATTGGGCTATACGTCTAATATATATATATATATATATATATACACTGATTTCTAAGCGTATGGAACATCAAGATGTGAATTCACAAAACGCAATACTATATTTCCCCCCGATAAAACCTGGTTTTTAAAAGAATATGGAACCGTAATGGTAATCTTATAGCTTATTACATGTAAGTAAGCTTAAGATTCTTAGTTTAAAACTGATTCAGTGCAAAAATGAAACGACAGTTCAAAATAAAATACTTTTTTGAAGGACGAATCAACCCAGAAAACAAGAAATAAGCTTTACCTTTGTATTCGTATGGATTAGTGTAGTATATAAGCATTTCTTACCAGACAAAGGATGGTATTTTTAGCCACGTTTTTCTTCTTCTTCCGCCATCTTGTGTGTTTATGTTTTGACAAACCCACACAGCATCATGGGACACCACAGGGATACCATGTAGAAAACAAACATAGTTACCACAGAAAGCCCATACAAGCTTTGAGAACTGAAGTGTTAGTTTCGTCGTCCTTATTCTTTAGTAGTGATTTTAAACCACTACAACTTCATGTGAGTAAATATTAGATGTTATTATTATTTATTAGTTCTCAAAGCTTGTATGGGCTTCCTGTGTAGTTACCACTCCTTTGTCAAGGTATTCAGAATGGACCAGATTGAAAACCCTATCTAATGGAATCAGTATAAATATGATTTCTTAAAAGCTCTTTGTACTTTTTTACAATACCACTACCACCATTATCCACCGACCATCGGTCATCATTGTTATCATCAATATTACCATGACAACCACTATTACCATTATCCACCACCATCAGTCATCATCGTCATCATCAACATTACCATGACAACCACTATTACCATTATCCACCACCATCAGTCATCATCGTCATCATCAACATTACCATGACAACCACTACCACCATTATCCACCACCATAAGTCCTAATTGTCATCATCATCATCATTACCATGCCTCTCTCAATATAATATTAAAAGCCATCAGAATTGACCAGAGTTGAGTGCAAACGGTGCAAACCATGTATCTGTAAACAAACATAAATGCCTAATAGCAGATATCATAGTTACACTCTATTGCCTTCAAATAATAGTTTCAAGTCAAGACATTTAGGGCAATACAATAAGATGTATAGACAATATGTAACCAGTGAAAGTTGCAAGCTAGTGGAGTCCCATGGTTAATGAAAAGAAAACTACTGAATACTCAACCATTTCTTTTATTTATCACTGCCAAAATCTTTTGTGAAATGACTGTTGATGCACCAACCAGGGCTGTTGAAACTACACATGCACAAGCAGTAGGCTAGCCTCCATATTAACTTTTTAGTAGTCGTTATGCTTGAGTCAGTGAAAACCCTGACCCCTTCGCCGCCTGGGACAATGTGGGACTTAGAGGGGGATAATTGGGAAATAGACTGCCCATACATTGCCCCCCAACGAGATGGAGCATTAGTCACTTTTAACAATAAAGCCGACCCCTGGGGGAGGGTCATAGGTGGGGTATGCATACTGAGCCCACAATATCAAAATCAGTGGCTGTCCACAAGAAATAAAAGCGTAAAAGCCAGCCAATCATGTAGGGATAATCAAGACAGCTCCATGAGGCGTGGGGCTTTCAAGGTGTTGGATATTCCTGGGGGTGGGGCATTAGAGGGTTGACCTTGTTTTTTCCCCCACATTGTGCCCCAGGTCGGTGGGGGTCAGGGTTTTTGTTGACTCATTCATTACCCACAAGAAAGTGGTCTCCATCTGGTAAAATACGATACCGTAGATTTAACGACTCACAGGAACTCAGTCACCCAGTTCAATCAGCATGTATTGAATAAATGGGAAATGCAGATAGCGTAATGTTTTCCCATTTCAGATAATGTGTCATTTCCTTGAGAATGAGATTCTGTTTAAGAGTTGCATCCATATTTAGTTGACTTCTCAAGTGCAACCATTAAACAAAAAAGAGCAAAAAAATATGCTCTAGGGAATGACACTTGGTGTAAGATGGGAAAACATCACACCCAAGTGGATTTGGTCCATTCAGTGTGCTTTGCTTTTACAAATTTCCAACCCATAGGAATTCCTTATATAATTATTTATTCTATTCTGTGTTAATTTATAAGGTTCTACCAAAATACATTATAACAATTCTCACGAAGAAAAAAACAATTGTATTTTGTATCTATATAGATATATACGACGTATAGATTATCTCTTCATAGTGTAAGCCTCCTTGGCTCCACTTTAATATACGTATGTTTATTTTATAGAACTGAAGATGTAAAGCCCATGTAAAGTAATCCGGTGTTCAGACTCCACGTTCCATTCCACAACAGACCTTTTTTCAAATTACAGCTGTGTTATTTGTTTACAGACGCAGGGTTAGCCTCATAGCAGTGTCTAAATATTTACAAATACCAATGGTAAAGTAAAGAATGCACAACAACAACAATACAAACACTTTACAATTCCACGGACCTTCACAGGAACATGCGAAAATTCTGCACAAATTTGAGGCTAACCCTAAGTAACTGAGAACTTGAAATTCAAATGTAAGAAACCTATCCTACCTAATATGTGGTTTTTGGCGATTTTCAAGAATTTTTCAACGCTCCGGATTACCTTATTTGGGTAAAAGGAATACATTTTTTTCTGGAAATATAAACGACTGAATAGATGAATTTTTTCCTCGAATAAGCGAGAATTTTCGTTCTCAAATGAAATTAAATACTTGTTCGGCTCAAGCATCTTTGATAAATAATTTAAAATCGTTTTGGTGATAAAAACCAAATTCATCATCAAAAATCAACAGAAAAAAAAAAGAAACGATAAAGAAATTTCTTAAATTGTGTAAAACTTGAATATGTTTTTGCTTCAATTATTCAAGCGTATTCATATGTCTAGTAGGTGAGGGAGGACTGGTAACGAGAAACACTAAAACGAGGCCAAGGGTCCTAAATGAGGAAGAAAACAATCAAATTTCATACTCCCTGTTCTACTGTTGCTATATTTACAGAACATAGTTGAGTTGCTATATTTATTGCCTAGTCCAACTAGCCTCACTGTTGTGTCCATCGGTATCAAGCCGTGTCCCTTATCAGATATATGAATGTGGTATACTTCGTTTCTTTTTAGTCGTGATCGATATTTTTGGTAATTTTTGCATGAAAATGAAAAATTGTTAATATATGATTGACTAACTTCTACAAAATGTAAAATGATTGTGTAAGACACTCTAGTCTAGTGCTTATTCTGTTACACTAAAGCATTGTTACGTAACTTGATGTCCAAGCATGTGACAAGGAATATGTCACGCAGTCTTAAGCAACAGCTCTTCCAGGACAACATTTGAATACGGAAACTTCTCTATCTTCAACGGCGTATTGTGTTATGTTTACTCTCGTAATGCAAACTTATTATTTCTCAAACCTTGTGTCACGTAAGAAAAATTTCGCAAATGTTTATAGGTAAAACGAAGGCGATGCAGTCGCTTAAAATAAATAACTAATAAAATTTTAAAGCGATTTCATTAAATGGCATAACGCTGTGATGTTAGCGTGAGAGTGGCAGCGGTCACACAATTCTTAAGATTGGTCACGTCATCTCAGTAATGCTTCTATTCTCGATTAAACAGCAGTTTCGTAGTCTTCTGCAGCAATAATCTGTAAATGCTCTTGAGCTAGTAGAAATAAAGAATGAATTAGAAAATGAATACGAAGGTCACCCATTTAACCAGCCAACTAAACTGGCGACATGAATTAGTTTCTAATCCCCTTAGGACTTCTACCACAGGAATCCTAACATAGCAGCTTTAGAAAAATTGGCTTTCCTTACTTTCTAGGTATTTAGCCAGTTCCTTGTCTTGTGATTTTAAGGCTTGAATTCTTGGTGTATTGCCCTGAAAGATATCATCATCATCATCATAATTTCTCATGATTATCATCATGACCATTACCACCACCATCATCATTATCACCATCATCATGACCATTATCATCATCATCATCATTATCATTACCACCATCATTATCATCATCGGTCATCATCATCATCATCATCACCATTGATCAACATGATCATTACCACCACCATCATCATCATCATTATCAATCAACATGATCATTACCACCACAATCATCATCATCATTATCACCATCGATCATCATCATCATCATTATCACCATTGATCAACATGATCATTACCACCACCACCATCATCATCATTATCATTACCACCACCATCATTATCATCATCGATCATCATCATCATCATTATCACCATTGATCAACATGATCATTACCACCACCATCATCATCATCATCATTATCATCATCGATCATCATCATCATCAATCAACATGATCATTACCACCACCATCATCATCATGATCATCATCGATCATCATCATCATCATCAATCAACATGATCATTACCACCACCATCATCATCATGATCATCATCGATCATCATTGAAAAAGTATCGTTATCAGAAGCCCCATCACGTAAATCAAGACTTACATCATAATCCGTTCTGGTAAGAGAAGCACCAGCCTGCACGAGAAGAGAACAAATGGTGCGTCGCTGATAGAAGGCTGCCTTGTGAAGAGCTGTTTGACCTCTGATATAACAAAAAATAGAAATAAATTAGGAAAATGTTTGGGAACATTTGAATAAAGATGGCAGGAGGAGAGGGGGAGGGGGAACGAGAAGTATAAAAAAATTGGATAGGTTGAAAACAGAAGTTCTTTAATTTTAACCAAGCTGACTTTGAATCATCAACAGTTCAGTACTCACTTTTCTTCTTCCACTAAATCCAGTACACATCGAGGAACTGCCAAATAAATGAGAAACAACAAGTTTATTTTATATCCATAACTTTTGAGTCTTTGGCGTGCGATAGACATAACATAGTAATGTTTTTAGTGTTTTCATGGGTAGAGTGGACCAAATTCACTTGGGCGTAATGTTTTTCCATCGAAGACCACATGTCCTTCTCTAGGGAAAAAAGATTTTCATCTAAGATGTTTCTAAGTAGACCTGATAGTTTACCGTTAGAGATAATATATCTGATGACTTCTTTATGTCCATGTCTTGCTGCATAGTGGAGTGGTCGCCATCCTCTGTGGTCACCTGCAGACAGGCTCACTCCTTTTTGATGAAGATCGATCACCTGAAAATACATATTGGATAAATATTGGTCATTTGCATGTTGGCGTTATTTTACTACTACTACCAGGGGTTTTTCACATTTTCTCATAAAAATAGAAAGATAATTAAATGATGGCGACGATGATTATACATGATGATGATACAAGATGATGACGATACATGATGATGATACATGATGTTACATGATGATGATACATGACGATGATACATGACCATGATACGTGGTGATGATACCTGATGATGATACCTGATGATGATACATGATGATGATACATGGTGATGATACATGACGATGATACATGACGATGATACATGACGATGATACATGACGATGATACATGACGATGATACATGACGATGATACATGACGATG